TTTGCATGATTTTTCTCCTTTCCTTTACCAGTCACACCTCTTCCGTGTGCTCCCCAAGCCCTGCCCTCTCTCCAATATATGTCTTTTTTAAAAATTATTATTATTACATATATAAGTGCATAGATATGTAAATATGACCAGCTGAGCCTGCTTGGTGTTGTTTGTACGTATATAATTTTAGGGCTGACCATTTGGTATTGAATAAGCAATTATGAGGCTCATCCCTGAAAAAGACTAAGTCTCCCTCTTCCTCAATGGCCATAAGCTTTCTGTAATTCTTTATCTGGGGACAGGACTCCAAGAGATTTACCTCTTTCTATGAAGCAGGTCTGTCATTGTTCACGTCCTGTTTAGGCAATAATATTATTGAAGTATAATGCATGTAGCTTCCCTGTCATTTTTCTCCGTCCTTTTTTTCTTGATGTTCCTTGAGGCTAAGGTGGAGAAGTTGTGTTGTAGTTGTATTTATTGCTTCAAAGCAACCCATTGTTAGTTTTTCTTTGTGTTTTGTGAAGTGTAATGTAATTGCCAATGTAATGTCCACACTATGGTGACATTCCATAATAATCTTTGCTACAAAAGAAGCTTCTTTGATGAAGGATAAGAAGTACATTAATCTGTGGCCATAAAATAAGTATTTAGAATCTAGTTAGGAGTTGTTATGTGTTATGGGTTAGTAAATTAGTGCTTGAAGGTTTTCATTCAGATCCATGATATCACTACCCCTTGAAAGTTGGGAAGTTTCCAATAAAATGCATGATTCCCCTTCTGTTGAGCAATTCTTAGTACAACAAGAGACTTGATGGTTACCACCAAGGTATAACATTATAATGTTGCACTTGGGGATATGCTTGGCCATTATTGGGGTTCATAGGTGTTACAGCTAGATAGGACTATCAGTTGCTTCTCTCCCTGGGAAGCTGGCATACCTTCACTGCAATGAAAGCTAGTTTCCAAAAGCCTTTTAGGTTAGATCCAGCATGGATTTTGAGTTCTGTATCTGAAGTGCATGGTGTCTTCAAGAGAGACTCACTTCAACCAAAAACAACAGCAGTACCCTATATTGTTTGGAGGAGTCTGTTTATCCAGTTTTCTTTTCATGTCATTTATATCCTGCTGTTCCTCTATCAAGCACTCCCCAGCCTCAGAATATTTACTGCCCTGATGATATTGCATTTGGTTATATACTCACATCTAAGGATTTTGAGCTAAGAACTAACTGATGAGAGGGAGTAGTCAGCATTTGTATTTCTGGGTAACGTATTACTACACAGTGTATTTTCTAGTTCCACCTAGTTACCTGTAAATATCATAATTGTTTATACACCTGTCATATTATATTTTTATTCAAGTTTTATTCAGAGAGAAATTCAGCCATAATTTTCTCCAAGACCAAAACCAAAATCAAATGATGCTACACAAAAACAAATAAAACCCTGACACTGAATGTATCTCTATGCATTCCCTCTAGATATTAATATTCTCCTAGTGAATGGTGGTTTAGAATAGATCACAGACTTGGAGAAACTGCTCAGTTTTCATGTGTAGTTAGTCTGATCTGTTGATTATTCTTCTTGGCCAAGACCACCTTCTTTCCATCATTTGGGGCAATTACAGGTGAGAAGAAGACCAGAAGGTATGTTATGACATGAATCTCACCTTTTACAATCACAGAACTCATTACAGCCTGTGTTCTTTTGAGTTTGTTTGTGTAAGCACGTCTTTATCACCGTCTAAGAATCTGTTCCCAATCACAGCCTCTCTTGAGATCCCAAACAAGATTCCTGTGACCACACCTTGAACAAGACATCACTTCTTGAAAGCCAGTAATTTCTCTGCTTGGATGAAACACATTCAAGTTGTGTTTCTCATTTGCAGCTACTTTAATTCTAAAATAAGTTGTATTCTAATATCTTCATTAGAACCAGTCACAGGTCATATCTATTCAAACATTTTTTCATTGTAAATAATTGTGCTTTTTAAAAACTGATTTGGAAAGGAAAATGTATTTTATGATGTAAAATTTATAGCAGAAATAGGTATAAAAATCTCTTTCTTAGTACATTGTTCCATCCACTAGAAACCATTTCTAAAATAAGAGTCAAAGGGCAATAAAATAAATTTTGTCATTTATTAGTTATAGATAGATTACAAAGTTGACTTATACAATTAGAAATAGTTCCAATCAAAAATAAATCATAGCATTGTAAATTGTACTTGAAATTTGTAGATATTCTTTGTAAGAATTAAAACTAAATGCTTGTGTTCATATAACAAAATAAAGATTTAAAACATACTTAAAAACATACCTATGCCATATATTATAAGAACTAAACCTACCAGGTTTATTTATAGATAGCTCAAAACAAAGATGATGGGTGTGTACGGAGTTAAGGGTGGAGAGGGTGGAAAGAGCTAGAGGAATTGGTCATCAAAATACATTGTATAAAATTTTCAGATCGTTAATATAATATTATTAATATAATATGATTAAAAATCAACATTAGGTTCAAATACTCATGTGAGGTTAGGTTCAAGGCAGTGGTATCCATTATGCATTCAACATTTTTTAGGCCACAGATTATTCAAAAACCTCATTTATTTACTTTGAAAAAGGAAATAATCAATAACTCTAAGTGCCAACGATACTAATCCAGCTATAAACATGAAACAAAATTAGTGCAAATAAAGAAGATTATGGTTACAACCCAAAGGGAGCAATATCTATTGGTGGAAATCATTTATCTCTAAAATATTAAGTGGATTGCTCGAGAGACAAGATCAATCCATAAAAGTCAGAACATGCACTCATATAATAATATTTCAAATTTCTTACACATCAACAAAATCATAATCTATATATAACTCAAATAAATATCAGAAATGTCAAAATATAATTGTAAAAAATATGTGGTAATTCCTCTGTTACCACCTTTCATATTATAAGTCTAAAAAAGTTATCAATGGGATGTAACTTCTATACACCAGGCTGAGACCAAGTTGATTTGAAATGATCTTAAAAGCTGTGATATGAATGTGGCTGTTCTTTTTGGCCCAATGCATTGTGCTGAACTTTAGTATTTCTTCATGGCATACATCACACAGTACAGTGATTAAACAATGCAACATAAATACCTTTTAGCTAATTTGGTATTCTGTTTATTCTACTTTCAAAATAATTTTGTTTTTACTCAGTACTAATGTTCACTTTGTTATTCTAAAAAGACTGATGTCGTCCACCAGGGATGTAGATACTAAAATGTAAAAGGCACTCCTTTGAAAAGAAAGCTTTTAAAAGTTCTACTGCTCCATAAATTGTGAATACACCCCAGTGAGTACTAGAACATTCAATGATAGTAAACAAGACTGATTAGCAATAAAAATTATAACACAGATTCTTTGATTTATATGATCAAACTAAAACAGAACAAAGAGTAATAACCAAAAGAACATCTTTTTTACCAAAAATTACAGACAGTACACATTTCAGACATGCTTTCTGTGAAGTGACAGATTGGGAAGGATGAGGGAGAGAAAACTAGCAATGCACTCTGTGCAAACAGTCCAGGTGGGAGTCCACAATACATGCTTAATTCTGGCAAAAACAGAGTGAAAGGAAACAAACATGTGGGAGCATTTCTTTAATCTAGGAAGGGATGAATCTTTGATGTTAGGATTTGCATTCAAGCTATGCACAGTTTGAAAATTAATATGTATTTACTGGTAGATGCAAATGACTCTTCCACTAGGCTACACTAATGCACAAAACTGGCTTATGTTAAAGACTATCATGATGAGAACAGAATTTGTGATGCTACATAAATATTGGGTGTAGTCATGTTTCTTGTTTTGATTGTATAGAAGGTTCATCCTACATGATATTTGCATCACTTATCAAAATTAAAAGGAAGAATTGTCTGGGAGGTCATTTTGGACTAAAGCTGATGGAACCCACACTCCACTCAGAATGCTTGTGGCTTCCTAGCTGAATGACTATATTCTAGAATCAGGAAAATTGGACCTTCGCACAAATCAAATAGCTTTCTCAAGGTTAACTTGTGCATTGGTATAGATCTTGGGACATATATCACCACACCTTGTCCAACATGGATACTAAGTATTCTATAAATATTTTGATGGAATTGCTGAATGAAGGGTGAACAAGGATAAGACAACATCAAAGGTAAGCAAGACTATATAGTTCCAGTGAAATGGTTGTCCACCTCTGTGTAGTCTAGGAAACCTTGCCTTTTTTTTTTTAATTAAAATCCCTCAAAAAGTTTGTACCATACTGCTCAAAGAAACAATGTCAGGTACCCATAGAGATTAATATACCACAAGACATGTTAAAGTAGATGTAGTTCTTTATATTGCTATAATTTGCCATTGGTATTGCTTATCAGTGAGGTCAGCTTTGTTTAAGAGACACTTTGACAGCATCACCATGGGACATTTAATTATTTGATCTTCCATGGACATAATGTTACTCATAATGACCCTGTGTTTTCAGTAGTTCCAAAGGGCAGTACCCTCATCTGTGATCATCCAGTAGCAAGTATGTGAAATAAAATTGAGACTCACTCTAAAAGGAGTCTTCAGAAACAAAGACAAGCAGAGGAGGAATAGAAGCCATGTTTAGACAATTTGACCAAAACTGATATGTTGTTAAACTAGCCATAATTGGAAAAGGAGAGTTTTGTCTCAAAAACAAAAAACTGGACAGGTATTTAGAGAATGTGTTTCCAGGCCTCAGACAACAAGAGAAAGCCAACTGCAGGTATGAACATATAAATAGGCAAAATATGAGTAAAGGAAGAACAGATCCCTACCAGTGTGGTTTATTGACAACCATACCCTACATGTTTACATGCGTAATCTAAGGGAACACTGGCAGTGGCAAGAGGCAGGTGAGAGCTGCTTTGTTCTCAGTGGTCAAGTCCATTTGCAAGAGGTCTTTGTAGGCAGGGGTCCTGGCAGTACTCTATGGTAGAAGGGAGTCACTAGGTCTGCTTGGGGACCCAGGTAAACTTCCAGCCTCCCTCCTCATCTCGACGTACAAAGGCTTGTCCCTGGTGGAAGGAGTGAGTTTTCACATTGCAGTGAGGACTCAAAGATGTGGAAAAGGCCACCTCTGTCTTGTTGGGTGACACATCTGCAGTGTGATAAGGAAGAGTCTGAACCCTCACTGAAGGATTAGAAAGAGGAAAACTGAAGCAGTCTTCCTGGTGGATGGAGGTGGCATGTGAGGCATGTGTTTTCTGACCTACATAGTCAAGGTGCAGATCTCTGCAGACATTTGCATAGCCAACTGTATCATGTACAAACTGGGAGGATGCACTGGGAACTGTCCTGGGAAGAGAGGTGGTGGCGGCACTGTAGTTAGCTGGTAGAGTGTCATCAATGGTGTTGAGGTCTTTCAGCCCAAGGGTTTGAAGAACCCAGGGATCCACATGGGGCCCAGATTGTTCCCCATAGTTAGAAAACTCCGTGGAGAGGTTTCTCTTGGCAGTTTTGGACTGGGGAATCTCAGCAGGGAGGTGTCTGTGTTCTTTGGGTTTCCTCTTCTCTTTTCTGAGTTTTCCAAACACTTTAGACAACTCATCTGATGACAGCAATTTCTGGAAAAGCAATATTTGAAAACTATACTTCCTTTAGATACTTACTGTTTGCCCAATTGCTTAGGGAAAAGAAGGACTAAATGTCTTGTGTGTTTTCACACAAGTAAAACAAATAATCAATTAGCTACTGTTTGTTGCATAAATATTCTTAATAAGTTGCTACCTTAATTCACATTCTTTACTCAGTTTTTAAAAGTTGGAGGAAGCAGATGACATCTGTAATGTTTCAACTAAGAGAAGGAAAAGCTGATGTCAATAGTGGGTGTCACTTATTAAACTTATTTATAAGTAAATAAAATAGGAATATCATTTATAAACCATTGATTACATGTTTTTAATAGCATGCAGATTGTTGGTATCAGGAGCCAACTTGGCAGATTGCCTCCAAACCCAGTGACACCCCCCATAACACGGACTCATGTATCTTTGCCATGGCAATTGCATACATTCCCAGAGTCCACTTCTCACTCTTACCTGTGAACCTAAATAAAATGCAGACCCTTCCTGACCTTTGCCCCTTTTTTCTCTTCTTACTCTTTTCCGTTTTGTCTCTGCCGCACCCCCCACCCCCACCTCCAAATAAACCTCTGCCATGTGGAACTGCATTAGCCTGGTGTGGTCTTTCTGGATGTGAGTGGTGATTCCAACACAACACAGATGCTATTAAAGTCATTAATAAATAAAGTAAGACAGTCGTAAGAGTGACCGAGTAACCCTTAGCCTAGATTTAAATCTCATTCATCTGAATCTTGACAGAACCTCTGATTTAAACACTGTAAGCTATCTCTTACTTTTATTATATTAACTTTCAAAACACTCCTATGAGATGTGCTACATTATTCTGTTTAGAAACCTGATATCAACAGAGTTAAAAATAACAACATGTTAATGATTTTATAAAATACTTTTTACAGATTGATAACCTATGTTAGGATTTCATAGTAGCAACTGTAAAAATGTATTTTGGTCAAAGCTAACTAGATTGCAAAGGAATCAAATTTAGTGACTCTTTGAACAAAAAAGAAAGGGTGGTAGCATCAAATTTAGATTAATGTCATAGTTTGTCTATAAATAAGATTAAACTGATGATAGACAAAGTAATGAGAGTAAGGGAAATGCAAACTGAAATGTGAAATGAAAAGAAAACCCAAAAGCTTGCAGGTGAGCTATTTATCCTTAAATTAAAGTAGTTCACTTTGAAGTGCAAGAAAAATGGGAAGAAAGACAGAATGCTTGCATACCCTAATCACCAGTAGAGAGTCTGGGGTGTGTGTGTGTGTGTGTGTGTGTGTGTGTGTGTGTGTGTGTAGACCAGAGGTTGAGTTGGGTGTCTTTCTCTATCAGTCTCCACCTTATATTTCCAGGCAGAGATCTTTCTAGTCTAGCTGGCCAGTGGGATACATGGATCTACTTAGTTTCCCTGTAGTCTACTGGGATTGCAGATGTTACTACAGACTTTTAATGGGAACTCTTCAGCATCCAAACCCAGTTCTTCATGGATGCATGAAAATGCTTTACTTACTTAACTGTCTTTATGAACCCTACAGAGAATCCCATTAGGGATCTTAGTCCATTTATTTACAAATTAAGACAACAAGGCCCTGTACTGGTTTGAATAGGAATTACCCCAAGACTCACGAATTTGAATGGTTGGCCTATAAGGAGTGGCACTATTAGGATATTGTTAAAGTAGGGATAGCCTTGTTGGAGGAAGTATGTTACTGTGAAGGTGGGTTTTGAGTTCTTTTTTTTTCCTTTTTTTTTTCTCATCTACCTTTTTTTTTAATTGGATGATTTATTTACATTTCCTATGTTGTCCCCTTACCCCATCCCCCACCACCCCCTCGGAACCCCCAATCCCATCGCCCCTCCTCCTTCTTCTCTGTGAATGTAACCTCTATCTACACCCCCCACTCCCACATCCCCACCCTCAAAATTCCCACCCCCTGGGGCATCCAGCCTTCATGAGGTCAAGGTTCTCTTCTTCCACCTATGCCCAGCAGGGCCCTCCACTTTTACATATTCAGCTGAAGCCCTGGATCCCCCCCTAAGTGCTCCCTGGCTGGTGGTTTAGACCCTGGGAGCTGTGGTTGGTTGGTATTGTTGCTCTCCTCATGGTGCCTCAAATCCTTTCAGCTCCTTCAGTCTTCACTCTAACTCCTCTATTGAGAACCCCATGATCAGTTCAATGGCTAGTTGTGAGCATCTGCCTCTGAATATGTCTGACTCTTGAAGGCCTCTGAGGAGATATCCATATCAGGCTCTTATCAGCATGCACTTCCTGTCTTCCACATCAGCATCTACCTTTGGTGATTGCACATGGGATAGATACTCAGGTGGAGTGGTCTTGAGACGGCCCCTCCTTCAGTTTCTGTCCCTCACTTTGTCTCCATATTTGCTCCCTTGAGTATTTTGTTGCTCCTTCTAAGAAGGACCGAATCACCCTCACTTGGTCTTCCTTCTTTAAGGGTTTTGAGTTCTTTAATCCTTAAACTAGGCCTAGAGTGGCAATCTCTTCCTGCTGCCTTGAAATGCAGATGTAGAATTCTCAGCTACCTCTCCAGCAGCACATCTGTCTGTGAGCTGCAATACTCCCTGTCATGACAATGGACTAAATCTCTGAACTGCAAGGCAGATCGAGTTAAATGTTTTTCCTAATAAGTTGCCATGGTCATGGTGTCTCTTCGTAGCAATAAAACCTGAAGACAGGCCCTAAGGAAGAACTTTAACTAACATCTAACACATGTTCGAACTACTGATATTTTTTTCCATTGATTTCTACTTCAATATTCCACACTTTAGTAACACCATAGTCATAAATTCCTCTGATTAACTTTTGTCCTTAAATAACTTCCTTAGTGACTCCTAGATAAAATCTGAAACTAGAAACTTCTGGGAAATGGTATATAAAAATCCTGTTGAAGCCATATTATCTTCTGAAGGGTAATGATTCTATTAAGGACTCCTTGCTCAAGTAAACTTCATGGCATGGGGTGTTATGTAGTGATTTCTTCTGTCAACTCACTACCTTGAACTTGTAAACCAGATAATTACATACCTTGGCCTTCTCTTCTAGACGTTTAACCAAAGTAGAATTCAGGTATTGTCTGAGGTGATTATTCTCTTCATGTAGCCTAGCAAGTTCTTCCTCCTTCTGTAGTAGAGTATCCTGGAGCTGCAGGAAGCACACAAAGGTGAAGGGTGCTCCCCTGTATTGGTTTTGTAACCTAATAATAATGCACTGCTCCCCAACCTTCTTAAACTTGATTATTCTTGTTTGTTTTATGAACATAGTTTCAAAGAGCCCTAGTCCTCCGAGTCCTAAATTAAATCCACACTCCCTACCACCTGATTGTTCAGTTTTGTGCACCACATATTCCATTCATTACAAAATATTTAAAGAGATCAGATGACTCTCAAAACTATAACCACAGGGAATCAGGTGGGTATGGAGGAAAGTGAGCCACACAGAACTGTTTAAACATAGGAAGGATAGTTGGAAGGTTTGACTGGACTCCTTCCTCGCATGTTTATGAAATTAAAAACAAGAGATGTGACCTTGCTTGCCCTGGCATCAAACTGGTCTGCCTGTGTGTCCAATAAATAAGGCTTCTCCCCAGGAAGAGCCACAAACAAAACCTCCAGAAGGAGTGATCTTTGGAAAAGCTCTCGAAGATGAGCTATGTTTTTGTCAAAAACATCACTGTATTTCGTCTTTGTTCTTGGCAGCAGCCCAGAGAGTAGGACTGCAGAAATATTCCACAGATAATGAAAAAATTGGTGAATTGAGAGGTCATTAAAGCTTTGCTTAGAGCCACTACTTCTGTGAGTTTGTTTATCTCACCGTTATCTCTTAGGACACATAACACTGAGCCACTGTAATTTTAAAAAGAGAAACATTATAAAACTAAAGATCAGTATGAAAAGGGGGGAGACTCAGAAAAGAATGGACTTTATGGAATCAGACAGTCTCAATATTCCCAATACATATCCATACCTGCTTATTTCTGTAGAGCTGAGACGAGAGCTGAGCCTCTTCCCATGAACACGGGTCCAGAGCAGGAAAACTTAAGTCACAGGGTGATTCTGTATGAGATTACAAAACAAATGAATATATTTAGAACTGTGTGATAAAAACTCAACAAATGACTTCAAATGTTTAATAGATTTAGTTACTTCTCTTTCACACAGAAAAACAAAATTTTTAAAATTTCAGAAGGAAGTAAAAAATATTTACACACTGACTACACAAGTGGCTAAAGAGATGTCCTCTCAGGAGAGCTGAGCAGCTTCTGGAACAAATATGTATACTTTTGCTGGATAAGTGAATAGAGGCTATCTCTTCCATATCAGTACCTCATAGGAATACTTACTGAACTTGCTTTCCACTAGGCACAATACTGTGATTCCACTACTCCTTTCTAGTGTTTGTCATATTTTCTGATTTTTAGTATTTGACAATGTTATGTTAGGCTCTGTGATCAATTCCTCATTCTCAGTTATGACCTGGGTTGGACTTAAAATGTTATTGGTGAAACATTGAGTATTAAATCACCATGATGAGCAAGAAAATAAAAATAAAACTTGGGTTCACATTCTGAGACGGCACTCTACTTCTGATTTTGCTTATAGTAAAAAGACAAAACTGAACAGCATCCTCCATGGCATATGTGTTGGTTTTTGTTTCAGCACCTTGTCATAAAAACTTCAGTCTCCAAAATACCTTGGGGCAAAATGAATGCAAGGGTCTTTGATTTTGTAGTGCCAGAGAGTTTTACAGAAACCATACATTAATATAGAAACCATTATAATATGTGTAAGCTCCAGCCCAAGGTACTCTGTATAATTTCCATCAACATTAGACATCTTTCTAAAGTTGAGGAGTATATGTGAAAGGGAAATGTTTGTCTCCATGTACGGAATACTGTTCTCAGAATCTGTGCTACAAAATAAACATTGTTACTCATTCTTGATTTTCTCTCAAGATCACAAGGGAATCTAACAAAATTACAAAATAAACGCTCCACCTGATACCTTGACTCCAAAAATGTGCTGTTTATGAAACTTTGTTTTAGACCTAAAGTTACTCCATGACTTGGACATCTCTAAGAATTAAACAGTGTAGAAAATAACATGTTGTCTAACACACAAGAGGAAGGGTTTCATTTTTACTTGTTGATGAGTACAGAACAACCAGATACTTTTCTATAAAATGCAAGAGTTTGGGGGCTTACTTGAATTCCCTACAATATCTCTTTTTTGAGATTTTAAAAAAAAAGAAAGAGGTTTGGCCCTCTCATGGGGGCTGCAAAAAGTCCCATTCTCCCAGGGAATCAGAAGAGTAGAACTTACCTAGTACTTGTGGTGCTTGTTGGAGCTCAGTGTTGTCCAGGATACCAGCAGCCCAGTAAGAGACCCAAGTCTCCTTGGAAACGTCAACACCAGATTCTGACGTTGAAGTGGAATACGGGCAATTATAACTCTGGCCTCCTACAAAATACTGATCTTGGCAAGGCAGAATAGTATTCTGTGAAGTTCAGTATGGTGAGGGTGTGGGAGACGGCATGATGGCAGTTGGGAGAAGTTGGGAGAGAGTGGGAGAAACAGAGAAGTTATATGTGGTGAACCAAATGGACAATGAAGGTGATAACTACAGGACCAGATACATATTTGAATGATGTGGTTATAATTACTAAAAAAAAAAAAAGTAGGCTCTTTGAGTTACCCGTTTCTTTCCTAAGGCCTTTTCACAAAATAACTAGTACTGGGTAGAACAGGTTAGTAAACATCAGAAGAATATTTCCTACTGTAGTGCCCAGTTCAATTGATAAGCTACCCAGAAATTAAATAAAAAGAATTAAGTTTCATAATTCGAAAATATAAGAACTATTTGTTATTCTGTGGGAGATATCTTGATTATGTTTCCAATAGCCTTGGGCAGTAAAGATCACCGGCTACAATGTGTTAACTGAGCAGTTCTACATGACATCATATCAACTAACCTCCTAAACTGGGAATCTGAAGCCGGTATGTATGCGCCTTATACTGTAGGAAAACCAATTAAAGCTTATCTCCAACTAGCTTATAAATAAATGAGACTCAGACTATGGTTACTTTATTTGGCTTTGAAGAATACTGGGGGATAACCCCTAATCTACTTTTCTAACCACTGACCAAGCTTCCTCCCCAGGGGTGTACTGAAGACACTTGCTGTTTCTCCTGGCCACATGGTCATGGTTCATCTCTCCTCACCGTGGCTTCCTCCTCTCCTCCCGTTTGTTCTTTTTCTTTCTCCTCCTCAGCTCTCCTCTCTCCTCCTCTAGCCTCTCCAGTCCCAACCAGGTAACTCAAAACCCTCCAGTAATTGGCTATAGCCAATTTTATTTAACCAATAGTTTTAAATTAAGGAGCAAGTTTGTACAACACAAGCTTGTGATTTACTCATAGGGCTAGCCCTTCTGGTACAGAATTTAGCATTACAATACATAGCAATAAACCAAACCTCAACATTATGGTTGGATGATATATACATGAATTAATATACATATATATGTATATATGTTTTCAGAGGTGATTGCATACATTTTGTTCCTATCTCCAGTCCCTCGAGCCGAGCCTGACATCATTGCATGTAGATAGTCAAAGGCTGGAAATAAAGGTAGTAGGCTCTACTTCCCTCCATCATTAAAGCTCAGTACCCTTTCCAGATTGTCTTGCCACCAGTAGCTGCCTGGCATGCTTTCTCCGCTGTGTTCTGATTCAGTGAACACCTTCCTCCCCTGCCCAACTCATGCCGCAATCCTCAGATATGGTCTTTCCAAAAGTCCGTGCAGGGCAGGTAGGCTGCCTGCTAGCTTAAGTTGTCCAACAGCCCATTCTTAATTATGTGTCAATGTTTAATCAGGTAAAAGACATCTGTAGCAACATAGTACAGATTTGAGCAAACTCTTTTTAAACACTATAAGACTGTTGCTGCCTTGAAGGCTTTCTTCCATATAACATAAATAAAGAAACCAGAAGGGAAGACAGAAAGGAGGGAGAAGAAAGAGGAGGTTGGGGAGGGAGGAGGAAGAGGAGGAGGGAAGAGAGGAGGAAGAAGAAGAGGAAAAGGAGGAAGAGGAGGAAGAGGAGGAGGAGGAGGAGGAAGAAGAAGGAGGAGGAGGAGGAGGAGGAGGAGGAGGAGGAGGAGGAGGAGGAAAGAAAGGAAGGAAGGAAGGAAGGAAGGAAGGAAGGAAGGAAGGAAGGAAGGAAGGAAGGAAGGAAGAATAGATTTATTATCATTGAGTCACTAGATTAACACTTGGGCCCTGCTCCCAGTCAGTGAACTTTTGGAGTACAGCTTGGACAGCCGTTGCCTAAAGAATTTCAGCCAAAAGTTTATCAAGTGCTATTTTCTTTTTTTCTAAAAGTATGTTTGTAGACTCATTTCGTAGGTTATTATTGGAATCAGAGCTAAGCTATTATGCAATTGACACCCGAGAGGAAAACAAACCCCAAACACTCATAAGTAGTTTAAGTCTAAGTGTTTGCAAATACGTGCATCATCTGGAGAACAGGTGGAAAGGAGAGAAAGCTCGTGCAGGGTGAGGGCAAACGGGTGAGGTGGGGAGGCAAGTGTACATACAGAGAAAGGGAACAGAGAATAAAAAGGGGTGGGGGCAGCAGACTTTGCCTATTTTAATTGGAAATTACAAAGGCATCTCCTAGGAGGAGTATATTTTAAATGCAGTTTATTGTCTTCCAGGGCTCCCAGATCCTGGCAGCAGACCACTTAAGGCCAGCTCCTCACTTACCATCTTGCAGAAGAAAGCGCTGCAGAAACTAGGCCCACTCAGCTTTTTCTTAAAGCCAGACTTAACTTTAAATGGGAACTGCAGGGAGGAGCAAGGAGGTGAGTTCTAACCCGCTGGAGCTGCCAGTGTCGCGCAGGAGGCTCCTGGCTGGTGCTGCTCTCTGATTTAGTAGGAGGCTGTCAAACAGGTGACGTTCGTGCCTGGGGAGCCGCCCAGCCTAAGCCGCGGCCACTCGCGCTCCAGAGACACCCACACTTGGGGGACGTGAGACCTGTGCGTCGCCTTGCGGGTGCGGAGGCAGCATTCAAGGCAGCGCCTGGTCAAACCCTGTGTCTCTGCGAGCTGAGTCTAAGAGAGTGTACCTGGCGCAGTGGCAGCCGGCAATGGGGACTTGGCTGCCCTGCTCCCTCTGTGCCACGCGCCCAGCAGCCGGTAGGGCGGGGCTGGGCAGGGCGGCCAGCCAGCCCCCGGAGGCATCTGAAGGCCAAACCTTGGTCTCTGCGCAGCGCTAAAGAAGCGGGTCTAAGGGACCCTGGTGTGAGTGGCGCTCAGTGCATTCCCTGGTCACAGAATAACAAGTGATGGGAACGCAATAATAGCATAGCGGCGACTAGATTTTATTTTATTTGTTTTCATATTTAATGCAAGAATCCAGTTCTTGCAAGGTTTAAATGTGGGAGGAAAATGTATGAAATGTATAAAATCTAGAATGTACATTTTCTAAGACATGTACCATGGACAATGGCCTGCAGACAAGTACTCAATAAAATTTGTTCAATTCGTTGTTCAAACAATGAATTTATGTTCAGCTTTTCGCTGAGTTGGGCTAATGTACACCACAATTATATAAAATAAAAAAATAAGATTAAGAAAAATAATGTCTGTCAATACTTCATAGCATATTTTATTTCCCTATCTTTTATTTTCTCCTCACATGCATTTCTATAATGTTCAACTAGGGATGGCAGAGAAGCAATACCTCCCTTAGACAAACCCCAGTAGCCAGCTCTCACTCATGCTGACCATTTAAAGGATATAAAGCAGTAGACAAATAGTATCCAACTCCAGCAAGCCTGAGAATATACCCAGAAGCCTCTAAGCCTGGCAGAGACACCCGTACAACCCTGTCTATTGATGTTCAAGTCACAGAACACAAGGTGTGGAGAGTACCTATCAATAGATAAACACACGAAGAAAATGTATAGACAAGGGAGCCTTATTCAGCTATAAAGAATGACATTATGTATGCCCTTTGTAGAAAAAAATGGTAGTCTTGGATATCATAATGCTAAGTGAAATAAGCCAGAGTCAGAAGAACCAATAGCTTATATATTCTTTTGTATGAAGAGTCTCTAAAGTGCATGAATGTGCATATGAGTGTATGTTGCATGTGTGTGTGCAAAATAGGAAACATACTGTTTTATGGCTTGATAAGAGGAAAGAGACCAGTGGGTGGAAGGGACAAGAGAGGGTAATGGGTATAAATATGAGTAAAGTACATGATGAACATGCGTGACAATGCTATGAGGAAGCCTGCTATTTTGTACAACGAATAAATGCTAATAAACAGAAAAGCTGAACAGGTTGACAGTCAACATAGAAGCCATGTTCTACTATTCTCTCCATGTAAAAGGGAAGCCCTGGGGTAAGAAAATGAACACTGTTAGCACAACCGGTGAGTATCACACTTGGGCTTTGGACTTCAGGCTAAGGTAACCAATAAGCTTCATTCTACCTATTTCAAGAACACTGCATCCAATGCTCTCGCTCATTCACATAGGTGTATGTGTACTTGGCACACTTTCAATACAGATTTGAGTTTCTTTCAACTTCATAGGCTGAAGTTCTGGTGCTGGTGTTAACTATATTTAGAGAAAGGTTACTTCAAGAACACAGTTTAAATGTGTTCATAAGCATAGACCTTGTGTCTGGTGGGATTATCAGAAAGTAGATACACCAGGTACCTGGGATGGCACTCACACAAATGAAAGGTCATAGGAGGACAGAATGAAGAGTCGTTTGTCTGCGAGTCAAGAAGGGAAAGGTCAGGAAAAACAAAATGCCGAGCAGAAACCTTGATGTTGGACTTCCAACTTCTGAGACCAAGGCTAGGCCTACTACAACATGATTGCTAGGTAGCCATGGCAAACTAATATGTACATGACACAGGACATGAGAACCAGAGTTTGAGTCCTGCTTAAATATAGTTCATTAGAGAAAAATTGACATTTTTTCATTGTCCTCCTCCTCTGTCATGAATAGAATTTAGAGAAACTATGACATGACTAAGGGCTCAGGGACCCCAAGATCAAGAAAGGTAAATAGGAGGGAGTTGAGAACATGCCAGACTCAGAGGTGTTCTTTCTCCTGCTTTGATAATACTTATTTGTACATTTTAATGAACAGGATTAAGTGTGAAGCTTACTGCATGGGAAATTGATGAACTGGATCACTCAATGCCAGCCCATTCCAGTGTGTTCTAAGAGAAAGTGATTCCCACTCTGTTATAGCAATACAAAGGACAAAGCCCCAAATTCATTTAGATCTTGCGAATAAATGGTCTTGTTCAAGTCAAAGAGCTGTTCATGGGTTACTCCTGTAAACACCTAAGCTCTTTAACAAAACCTGGTTAGTTTTGTGATGAGCAGCAGAGGGAGGAGGGCTGGGTAGACTTGGGAAGCTGTCACAGATGAGAAATCTGAGAAGTGTAAGCCTTTGCAATGACACCAAGCAG